TATTTAGATTTTCTTTCATTTGATTACACTAAATAACAGGTGTCACTATAAAAATGCACACATCTAATATTGAATTGAAAGCATTCGATTGCTTTCCTGACTGTTTATGCTCATTTAGGACAAAATTACTTGTGTTTGAAAAAAACCCCCACCAAGATCAACATCCTTAGGTATTAATATTATTAATCATGTGTATATTTGTTTAAACACGCACCCTAAACCCATACTTTTGCTCCGCTTCAAACCACGAGTACAGAATCCGTTTGGGACACAGCGTCTGTTTATCACTATGGAACGCGTCAGCTGACAGTCATGCACCTCTAACGTTATATGACTGTTTTAAGGATTGCATATGAAGGGGAGACGACACTTATAATGAAAAGGAAGGGAATTGTGCAGTTTTATGTTTATTTTAAAGTGTTTTCATGCCTAAACAAAGTGAAAGCTCAGAACAGACTCACATTTGAGAGCCAGGGGCGGCCCCTGGTGGTTCGGCGGTATAGGTTGAGCAAAGGGAGGCTCGAATCTTTAATGTTTATTTGCCACCCTTTAGAGAAAGACTAAAAATACGGGATAATCCCAAGAAAAACAGGAGGGTTGAAAGTTATGCACACATGAAATTATAACAATAAGCATGTTGAAAACGCTCTTAAGAGCTAAGACAGATTGTTATTAGAAAACCCGGCTATGATTATTAAACAATTCAAACTCGTATGAATTGCCTACTTATGATAAAAGCCATGATTTTAATGCCAACTGTAAACAAGGTCTTATAGCTGTATTATACATGATATTTATTCTAAAGTAAACGTATCTAGTTTCAAGTTTATTATTTAAAACGTCACACAAATAGCAAGTAAGATAAATTAATGTTCCTGCTGGTATATAAAAAACGGCTAAATAGGGAAAAGCAGCTTAATTGAAGACAAATTGATGTTTTGGTTTTTATACCTCTTGGTAGAAACACCAGCGAAAAGGTCTTCTATCACAGCTCAACTGTGGTGTGAAAGATACGGTAATGGAAGAAGGGAGTTTGGGGAAATTCAGAAATGAGTTTTAGAGAGAGGAAGACGGTGGGGTGCTTGAGGGAACATTTCTGGTGCCTTTTAGAAAGCAGACTCCTTCACTAACTAACACACCAGGACTAGCACTTTTCACTCGCAGCGGTGAAGGCAGAGAGGAAGGAGGAACATAACAAGTACACCAGAAACATGAATGTTGTACAAAACAGAATGTGAGGGACAGGCAGAAACGGACGGCTGAAAAGCACAGAGATGATGATCCAACAAAGAAAGGGAAGGAGGATGAAGAAACCAGGCTTTTAAGGCGGATAAATGATAGTTTCTCTACTCTGTTACTACAAAAAGACAGTAGTGATGCATCTAATAACCCTTCAACAGCCTTTGTAACTGCCTTGACCTTTTGTCCATTATAACAAAAACTCAAAATTTGCTCAAAGTGATGTCAAGAACACAGTTCAAGCAAATAAATTGGTCAAAATTGTTCTTGGAGTGCAATTAAATGGATATAGCAGGAGAACTGTTTAGCAGAAGTGTTCAAGTGTGCTGCAGTGAGTAATAATCCAGCAGTGGAAGGTGTTATTGTTTTTCTAAGTAGCTGTTTATTAGCAAGTGATGGCGGCAGTGTTCTTTCCAGAGCACAGTTCTCAGACACAAGCTCTATCACATTTCTATTGCACTAATTAATCAAAAGGCTTTTTCAAATGAGCTTGAAATATTGCTCATGCTAACTTTATGATTTGCATTGAAGATATTTGTGCTGCCTAATATTTGGGGTGAAACATGCTTTCTGCTTTTTCTCAAGAGGAACAAGGGTTTATTTGCTTTACAGGCTAAACCACAAAATTTGTCAACATATTAAAATTTGCACATTCAAAAAGGCATTGCCAATATACATAAATGTCAATGTATTGAAACATTTCAATTTGGAAACATGCGCATTTCAATATGGATTTTTTTGTCCTGAAGGTCCTGAGTGCAACTATTTTTTCTAGTATGTTACAGCCCTATGTATGTGCCTGTGTTGTTTTGCTTGTGAGCTCTCTCTCTTTCTTATTCGATCTCTGTCAATTATCTTAGGAAAGCCCACTTCAGTTTCCCTTTTGTTCGTGAAGACGTCAGTCATCATTAATCTCTGTGACATCATCACCTTCACTGTCAATCTTGGGTAAGATAATTAAAAAAAGTAATAGATTACAAATTACTGACTACTCTGGAAAATTGTAATCTGATTACTTTTCTAATTACTTCGAAAATCATCCTTGGAATTAGAAGGTTCTATCTGCGTTTTGAATGATTTTGAGATGTTCACCCTACTCTGTTCACTGCCGATCACGAAAGGAAGCCCAAAGTTTAAAGGGATGCGAGCAGGGAAGCTCGTTCTCTTGCTATTGCCTTGCTTGCCTTTCTGCTCTGTTTGTGTGTTTTGGTTTGTGTTATGTGATATTACTTTGATTTGACTTTAGAGATTGATTCTGTTCTTGTTTCAGTTGTGGTACGCTGTTACCGTTTTGTACATACTCGTTTCAGGATCCCTGATCACTGATTTCTAAATTCCCCTGAATCAAGGAGTTTAGAGGTCATGGGACATACACCTCGCACCATGCAGAAAATTCTGAAAAAACTGTTTAGAAGTGATCACCACTTGCTGTAAGTTTCCTATGCATATTTTTGGTTAGAAGTATTGTCCAGACATGGCGTGTAAGTGCTGAAGATGTTTTGTTTGCTTATTTTCTATTTATCAGTTTAGAGAAATTGTTTGTTATATTATATTAATTTATTTGACGCCACTTGAAATTATCTTTCCCTTAACTGCACACATTACTCGATTATTTTTTCTTTTGTGAGATGCTTAAACTTATACATATTATTTTTGCTGTTTGAATTATTGTCTCTTTTGTAAATAATTCACTTATTTTTGCATTATTTAATTTATTTAATTGTCGTTTTGCTATTTTGCCACCAAATCTCTATAAACTGAGTCACATCAATATGCTACCTCTTTAACCCCTATAGCTGAACTTTAAAGTCGTAACATAGTGTTAAATAGAAACTGTTTTGGACAGAACTACGTATCTATCTCTCAGAAAAGACAAAGGTTGATATTTGTTAAAATACTTTTGACTTAATTTTCTTTTATTACCACTCTAAATCTTGCATTGAGTTCATTGTCAATCTTTTTATAATAACGAGTAAAACCGTTTTATTCACAAGTGTACATTTTTGGAAAGAAATCCAATTTTGGATATTATTTAATTGACTATAAGTCATATATTTTGTCTTTAATGGGCTTAAAAAAACAAAAAGTCTTTAAAAAGTCAAATATGGCTTTCAATTCAAAACCTCATATAATTTCCCCTCAGGTCTTTTTTAGTTTTTTACTTTGTTCAATTTTATTTTATTTTTTCTTTCACCCTTCTTTAAAATGTATTTTGCACATTGTAAGTTTCTGTACTCTATTGTTAACTGTTTTTGAAAGCAATAAAAAAAGTGTTAAATAGTTTATGAAAAAAATAAGGGTAAAATACTAACTATTCAAAATATTATAATATTATTCAAATTAAATATTCAAAGTATTCAAAATAAATAAAAAAGCACCTTTGCCAGAATTTATATTGTTTGCCTTTTAAAATGATCGCAAAAAATAAATGAAAAAGACAAAAAAAAAAAAAAAACTCCATAAAGATTCAAAAGGTTTGTATAATATTACAAAAGATTTCAAACTGAAATAAATTCTGTCATTTCATATACTTACTTTTCACAAAAATCTGTAAAAGCAAGTCAGCATATGGAATGAGTTAGAACAAGTGACAGTGAGCAATTGATTATTTGATTAATTAATAGATTAATAGACTTGATCAATGACTGCTTAAAATTTTTATTTGTAAAAATATAAAACTTTGTAAGTTTTTAACCATATTGTTGATCATATATATTTAGCCTTTGTGAACAAAAGAGGAAAACCCTTAACAAAAAAAAAACAACAACTTAAGACTGTTAGTGTACAGTCAAGTTTTAACTTCAAAATGAGCAAATTCTTCAGTGTAGGTACCTGATATTCAGATCACTCCATGGCATATCGTCTATGTGATTGCTTAGCAGAGTTATTTGTATAATCAGATTTCATGAGTTAAGCGGTTTTGTGACATCACAACCAGCACATCTGTACACCCTCCCCAACATCTGTCCTCTCTGCATTTAAAAGCAGTGTGACCCCAACCAAATCTTTTTTGTACAATAATCTTGGCTAATATCAGACTAGACTGTCTGACAGATTGATGCACCATTTTCAAAGCACCTAAGATAAAAATCAGCTTGCAAACACAGGCAAACTTTTAGAGAATATATACTTTAGATTTCTTTAGAAGCAACAGTCATTAGCGTTTGCTCTTGTAAAGTCATTGCATTCACCCTTAGGCAAGATTTCCAATTATGTTGGTTTTAATAGGCTTGCACTTTTTCCTATTCTCTTTTTCTCTCTCAGGATCACGACTTTCCTGTGTTTAATGTTTTCTTTGTAATGAAGAAGCTCCTCTCTGTCGTTATATAAGTAAACACTTACGGGGGGAGAAAACAAGCAGAGCTGATTTTTGATTACTCCAAATTAGAGAGTCATAAAGGTAATATTTCCAGCAATATCCGAAAATATGGGTGAAATTTGATCTGGAGAGGAAATTCTCTGTACCCTGCAGACATAAATCTGAAAAACAAATACTCAACCTAAATATTTTTCCAATATCTGCAAATGGTGGCATGGGTTATTATAAAAAAACAAACATATCATACAAAGTCAAAATGCTGGGTTCCACGCAATTACTTCATGTTGTCCTAACATAAATCAATTATTTTAAAAAAAATTAAGTGGATTTAACATAAAATAATGAAAAAAAACCTTGAAAATTGTGTTGTTTTAACTAATTTTGTATAATTAGTTTGAACAAGCAGCAGAAGTATTCTTTTGAGTGTAATAGAGATGTTTACATTGTTTTGAAGTCCAGGAGAGTGTACTCGGGCCAGTCGATGTAGCAGACCACCCTGCCGGGCAGCTGGTCAGTGTCGGAGTAGTAGTATTGGGGGAAGGCCAGCAGAAGAGCCAGGATCCAGATGACCCCGATCACCACCTTTGTCTGTGTCGCAGACATCCTCTGCTGCAGGGGGTGAATGATGGCCATATATCTGTTGGAGGACACACATTACATCTGTTGGATATTCAGGTATTTTGTGCTTCAACTTAAGCTTAAATGGTTTTGTCATCTATATGATTTTGACATTGACAGTTTTGTGGTGAACAAATCATCTATGTCATTAAGAAAAAGAATGCTCCTGTAATGCAAAATTAAAATCTTAAAAATGTTTAATTCCCAAATTTCATGATTTTGAGGTATAGGGCGTGGTTAAGATATTTAACGCCCCTCCAACTGTCAGTTTTGACAACAAACAGAAGTGATGAGGAGAATTCGCCTGTTAGGTAACTCTTCTAAAACCCTTTTCCCCATCTTTCTGAATGAAATGCCTACTGTACTACATCCAATCAGCTCGCAGTAGAAAAACAAGCCACTCCCACTGTTATGCCGAGATCAGACTGCACGAAGTAGACATGTCACAGATGTTTTCACACTCTATGACTATCTGGGGTAGCGTTTTGTGGCTGCTTTGTTTACACAGTAAAATGGATCGACAACAGGTTTCACACTACATGACTTTACAATAGGAATCATCAACAACTCAGTTCACAAACTACGGCTCACAGCCAAGCACACACAGGAAGTGACATGGAAACAACGTGAGGTCACGCAGTATATCTTTTGTCATAAACTACATACTGAGAAAGAAGCCTTTAATAGGGTGTAACGTACTTATTTTGCTCACCTGACTTTTGAAGGGAATTGGCAATTTCTCCTTAACTTTTTTCTTTTTCAACCTGGTTGTGGTATTGCTCAGATGATACGTCAAACAGACACGGGTGCTCCTGCCATATTTAAACTAGTTTTTACCCCATTTCTTGGGTTCAAATAGACTGAAATAAATATTTTTAACTTATTCCCAACCTCCCGTTGGCCTGCAGATACCCATACTAGTGGTTGCAGTGGATTGGCTGTAGGTCATCGCAATGTTATTTTCAAACAGAATACATTTCACACGGCATGATTTTGAATCAACGACAGCTCCAGATATTAGCATGCCAAATATCTCACGGGTGTCTGCGACTCATCAACGATTCTCTCAGATTGCGTACTCAAAAGTTCACTCTGTGTGATTGACACTCACGTAAACCAGCATTGATTTGCCTGTGATTTCAGGCATTTGACAACGATTTCTCAAAACCTGTCGGCCAGTCAAAATCAGGGCTGAAATCATGCAGTCTGAACTCAGCATTAGCTTATTTAATATTCAGTTTTTCTAAGTATTGCGTCACAATACAAAAAAAAAAAAAAAGTTGCAGCTTCTGGTTCATGTGGACTTTAAATAACACTCTATTAAAATAAACAAATATTAATAATTCTGAAAATGATGAATACATGTACTTTTGAAATGTGTTCATTTAATAGACTGTTTTCCGTTAACTGCCAGGAAAGTAATGTGTTTTGGCATGGTGTCAAGATGTAAGTGAGAATATAACAGAAGATGAATGGCAGAGCATCTGCCTTACGTCCCATACCCTGACAATTAATGTGAAGTAAACTTCTGCAATGCAATTGCATTATGAGAGTGTACATTATCCTGGAGTTATTACATAGTTCTGAGCGATGTATAATATTCAGAACTCTAAGCCATTGTTTATAATAATGTCCCCATTTTTATTTTTGGTGTTGAAACAGAATGTACCCAAATGTCATCAATTCTGCATTCTAAATCTCTTGCCTCTATCTTGCACTTTAACTGATGAAAAGAAAATGCTGATATTAGTACAAGCTAACATCACAGCAGCTCATTCATCTCAAACAAGAAAACATTTGAAATAATTAAAAACAGAAAAGCTAGATATTTATATGTACTGAATGTGTGTGTTTATTTTATTCTTCAGTTATAATTATTCTGAAAATGATGAATACATGCACTTTTGAAATGTGTTCATTTAATAGACTGTTCTCCGTTATTTAAAATCAGTAAAGATAGTGTTGAATTGAAGTTTTGAGATACTGAATTGATGGGTATATAATGAATCTTGAATTTGATAGTTCAGAATTAGAAATTCAGTAATTGGTAGAGAAAAGTTTATTACATTATTATATAAATTATTATATGGAGTTTATTAGAAAGAAATATTATATTTAAAATGGCAGAAAATTTTGTTATCAGAACATAATTATTATCAAGCATTGTTATCTGTAGACTGCATTTGTTTCTGTCCTATAAATTGCATTTTTAGTAGATTCACATAGAATCACTATGCAAAGCTTTTATGACTTTCACACTGATTTGCGCTGTTTAGTAATTCATGTCTTCTAAATGTTTTTTGTTTTGGTTGAGGAAAATGTATTTTATGTAGTCGAAACAATGAAAGCAAGAAATGCATGTGTTAATTAAATGTTAATTGAGATCTTTGAAGTCTTAATTGTAAATAAATTATAAGTTTTTCAGTTTACTTTCAAAAAGAAAAGCATGCGTTTACTTTCCTTAGAAAGCCTCAGCGCTGTAAATGAAGACAAACGGTCTGTTAATGGATTTTGCTTTCAGCACCCATTTCTCTCTATTTACAAACACACTTGTTTTCCTGATATTCATTCATAGTTTGCACATATCGTCAAGCTCTGAACTCTAAACAGTTTAAGCTTTCAACACATCAGTGACTTCATCACATACACACACAAACACAACTCTGTCCAGCACACAGACAAAAAAAAAGAAAGAAAAAAATCGCAATGATAAATCCTCTTAAATCATTTGCTCCAGAATCCGAGACAGTAAATCCCGGCCACACACAAAAAAATCTACAAATCTACTGAGCAACCATTATAGTTGAATTGTGCAGCTATTCATTGTGATAATATGAGCTCTGTAGTAATAAAAAGGATCGGTTCCGGTTATCAGTTATATGGACACTGAATATACACTTGAGGCAGGAATTATTTAACTTAATCATTTGGAGCTGGGAGAAAATGTGCCATGCTCTGTGTTCCACTTTCAGACAGTGAGATGATATTGAGTGAAAGCTTATGTCAGGCATTGCTTTGTTTCCCCTTAGACGTTGTCTGCTGTGCAATAATTCTTGTTGTTTGTGCAACACACATTCAATGCCTCCAATATGAGCTGAATTGAATTCCAGCATTACATATTGTGTGGTCTCTTTTTGGTTTGAGAATTGAGAACTTATTCTCATTTGAAAGATATAAATGTGGAACAACAAACAAGACATATACAGAATGACTAGTGATTGACTTTAAGGACAGTATATTCATTCATTCATTTTCTTTTCGGCTTAGTCCCTTTATTAATATGGAGTCGCCACAGTCGAATGAACCGCCAACTTATCCAGTATATGTTTTACACACTCATTTACACCATTTAGCTTACCCAGTTCATCTATACCACATATATTTTTTTAAACTAGTGGGGAAAACCAAAGCACCCGGAAGAAACCCACGCGAACACGCGGAGAACATTTAAACTCCAGCGACCTTATTACTGTAAGGCGATTGTGCTACCTAAGGTGCCACGGTGCTGCCCCCAGTATATTCATAGAAAAGATCTATTTCATTCAGTGTTTATGGGTAAAATGAAGTTTGAAATACCTGGGCAGCAATATACTATTAGCAAACATTCTGACGCTAATGGTGAATATGTAAAAACCAACACAGGTTCATTGGAAATATGTGCTTCAGCCTACATTTTTGTGAAACCACAAAAACAAGTTAGACTGCAGATAAATGATGCCAACACCGTTAATTCCTTTTAACTTGTATGATAGTTACAGGGACATGTTATCAACGAATAAAGGATTATTTTAATGTAGTTCTTTGCACAACACCAAATAAATTCCACAAAATCTCTATGATCTATGTTTAAAAAAAAAATTTAAAAAAGTAAAAAAGATTTGTCTTGTCTATTTATCTTCATATTGAAAACTCATCCTAGTGTACTGTTTACCTTCTCATTTTGTATGATGTTGTGCAGAGCACTTTGTTTCAACTCTGGTACAGCATAGTTCCACAAAAGAGATAAAAGCAATGTAAATCAAGGTAAAACTATGTGGTCGCAGTGCATTTTTCTCCCACATTTATCTTTGAAACTTGTTGGTTATTGATTTCTGGTTTGTTACTGGTTGTTACCAGATCAGTGGTTTGCTACATGGTATGTACGACAAATCCTGTCTTATCATGGATGTGTACAAGAAGGAGATATATTTAAAACAACAAATTGAGTCATAAGAAATGTATTTCAGATTTTAAAAAAGAGACATCGCCATCTAGTGGATTTGTCGTCTGAAATGTGCAACACAATGTGCCCGAATAATGTGTTGTATAGTTTCGCAAAAATGCAGACTGAGGCACATATTTTCAAACAGCTTGAGCTGGTAAATTTTCTATGTGCTGTGCATTTTCCTCTCTAAAACATAAATAAATGTCTGTGGTGAGTTAAGAAATCATGATATGATAGCTGTGGATGCTGATGAGCTCTGTAACACAATGATTATCTAACACTTTAACCAGCATGTAGGTTTAAAGCAAGTAGTTTTACAGCATTAAACATTAAGACAAATAACGGCTATTTTTTTCTTATGCAGGTCTGATCTCAACAAAATAAACAGAAAATCTTTTCTAAAATCTTGTGTCAAAAAATTTTCATTGTCAAAAAATCTCCTTTGGCCAATGGAAGTCTGAAGGTGTTTATCATCGAAATCGAACTCTTCCATAAAGTGCTTTGAACTCCTGAAACTCAAACAAACTTCACTTTGGCATGATTTAGTCTCTGTCCATACAGCAACAGGTTTAGGTCAGTCTGCAAAAGTTTAATATAGTTACAGACTTTCGTTCACTTTCCCAGAGATGGGTTGCGGCTGGAAGGGCATCCGCTGCATAAAAACTGGCTGGATAAGTTGGCGGTTCATTCCGCTATGGACGACCCCGGATTAATAAAGGGACTAAGACGACAAGAAAATGAATGAATGAATGAACTTTCGTTCACATGACATTGGCTGTCACAATCACCAGCAATCTTTTTCATACAGACCGCTG